AATCGGGATGGGTGTGTCAGAGGCAGTGCGGTTGGCGCAGGATAGAGCAGGGTTTAGGGCTGTTGTGCATAGGGTCGCTATGAGTCGCAAATGACTCGACGGCACGTAAGAACAACAAATTTGCACTCAAGGAGATTGTTCCTCTTTCTCCCAAGAAGCAGCTGTTGGATTTGAACCATTTGCCATTGGGTTGGTAGCACAGCTCCTTACCCACTATGTTCCTAGAGCTCTTTTGCCAAACATTAGTGTACTTTAGGGAGCTCTGGTGATTTACTGGTAAAGAGTTGTGTTGCCAACCCTAAGGAATTCACAACTGCTCTGTGGAGGAAAGGTGGGCAGTCCCTTCCATGGGATCTATTGCCTCTGAAAACCTGGTGAGTCACCTATGGGTGGGTTCTGACTAAATAGTATGTAACAAAGTGTGCCTCAAATCCATCATCCAGTTGTATCCTCAAGATAACCCTGATACAGACTCTCAGGCATGCTCATGTTACAGCGGAGGAACTGGAGGCTAGAGAAATTAAGTAACTACGTAAGGATGCACTTAAGATGTCACTTTACATCCTGAGGGAATAGGTAGGTAGAGTGGAGTTTTTTTCCAGAAGAATCCTTGAGGAAGCATCTGTCTGTTTGGCAAAACGCCACTTAAATAGATGTCACTTTTCCCCAAAGCTATTCATTCGTCAGTTATCCATTCAGCATGTGCTGCAGGTGCTGAGTTCTGTTGCTCAGTACAGATAAGAGCAAGTCTCAGCACAGTGGCTACTGTGGCAGGCGCCCAGGGAGAATGTGCTGGGTTTCTGCCTCACAGGAGGCGGTGAAGATCACATATTGCAGTAAGAACATCACAGTATCAGGTACAAAGTGTCCTGAAATCACATTGTTTTCAGGCATCTGAGAAGAAAAGTAGTACTTACTTCTTCCCTGTCTTCCCTGGATCACACTATTTTCTCTTTAGCTCAAAGGTCCCAGTTAAAGGAGGCTGGCTCTAAACACCCACAGCAAAACCTTCTGTAGTGCTGCAGAGGCAGTCAGTCACTCTCAGCACCCCCATTCCAGGAGCCCTGGTGGTCCAGTGATAAAGACCTGTTCTGTCAACCTAAAGGCACTCAGTTTGAATCCACCAGTTGCTCCATGGGAGAAAGATGAGCAGTCAACTCTCGTGAGATATCCTGCCTTTGAAAACTCGATGAAGGATCAGCGTGGGCCAGTTCATACTCTGTGATGCTCATCCACAACAGCCACCCTCACCCAGTAGCAATGAGTGGTGGACATGATTAACTGAAAGCTTGTAGGTTCAAGCCCACCAAGAGAATTGTGGCAATCCACTTCCAAAAACCCAGCTGGTGAAGACTCTATGGAGCACAGTTCTGCTCTTACACACATGGGTGGGTCTAGGTTTGTTTGGGGCTTTTTTAGTCCTGTGTAGGGAAACTTGTTTTAACTTGTTTTAACTTTGCACACAGGCAGTTTACTGGACTTCCTGAAGAGTGATGAAGGTGGCAAAATCCTGCTTCCAAAGTTAATTGACTTTTCTGCTCAGGTGACGTATGGAAAACCCATGTGGACTCTAAGTAGATAAGACCTCCCTCTCTACTTTAAAAAGTTCATGATGAAATTTGTTGTCCTGGGAAGAGGCTTTTCTTTAGATGTTTCCTAGTAGGAGCTGTGAGGGAGAGCTGTTGAGCCACCCCCTCCCTCAGCAGACAAGGAGGAGTGTTCCTTAGGGAGGGTGGGTCTCATTGTATCTCTCTGTCACATCCAGAACTTGGTGGTATTTCCTCTTGGGAAGGTTCCATTATGGGGTAAGACTCTGGAAGTTCTAGGAAAGGTTGGCCTTGGCAATCATTTATTCTCTTATACCCTCTTTTTTGTTAGGGAATTGATTAAGGTTTCTTGGATATGAGGAGGTCAATAGGGCACAAGCAAAGTCCTTCAAGTAAGTTGAGGTCAGAGCCCAGCATCTGGAATAAGGTACTGTGAAGTGAGCTGGAGCCCCACATTGCAAGGTTGATGGGTGTCTTGACTCTCACTCCACCTCTGTACCATCTTTTAGGAAGCTCTTTATAGAATACTAACCCCTGTTTTAAGGAGATGATGTTGAGGGTCAAGTCAAACGAGCTGGTTTGTGTAAACACACTGTAGAGCTGGTGGCTGGATGCTGGGACGGCTTTGGGAGAGGGCTCCATCATTCCAGTGACCTTTTGTGATAAAGGACTCCTTCCTGCTCACCTGCTTCACCTTAGTGAGCTGAGGCTTAGATGTGGTCTGACCTCTAGTATCTCATATGGAAAGAAGAATATTCACCCACAAGTGATGGAGGAAATGCATTAAAATTGACACTCTGCTGGTCAAACAGCTATTTCAACTGCTGCTGGTGGGGAAGGCAGGGAAAGAGCCCAGCAAGCCCTGCCCTTTTAACCCTTTGTGCAACTTCTGCAAGCTTATCTGTGAGGGACTCCTCAGGACCCAGTGGGTACTGGACCGCAGTTTGAAAACCACCACCCTACGTACAGTAATGGAAGAGATGACACTTGTTTACAATATCAAACCACCTCCTGTGTCCGTTTCTGTCCACAGCTCAGCCCTCACTAGACTCTTCTACAGGCCTTGCTTCAAAGTGTGCGTATGAGATGCCCTGCATCCCCCTTCTTGCATGCGGCCTTTAGGACAGTACTGACAGCATGCAGAGAGGAGCTTCACATGGGCAGAAAGGAGCCTTACACTTCAGGCTCATTTGGAATCAGACAGTTAGCACACTCACTTCCTGCTACGTGTTCCTGATGCTTGGCCCGGGAGAACACCCTTTAGTAGTGGTACCATCTGGCATACCTCCATCTTTCATGAGTTACCAGTTGCCACCAAGTTCACTTTGACTCCTGGAAACTCCAGATGTGTCAGAGCGGAGCTGTGCCCCAGGGTCCTGTTTGGCTGAAACTTTGGCGGTAGCTCACCAGGCCTTTCTTCTGGGGAGCTTCTGATTGGACATAAACTTTTAGCAGTTTGCACCGTCTAGGGAGTCCTCTTTCTGAAATTACTTCCTGTGTAAAGAAGGCCAGCTCTGATCATGTGGCATTAATAACTGTGTCACCTTTCCACAGTGAATAATACAGGAAAAGTCAGTGTTATTAACGGCAGCGTAGGAGATGGACGTGCCCGGCCTAAGGCCTTGCCTATAGCTTTCCCCACTTTACTATTCAGAGTGGAAATAGAAAAAGCTGTACAAAGAGTATAAATCTCTTAGGTGTTTGAAGGCTAACTAAACAGCTAATAGGCTACAAAGTATGTTTGCATTCTTTCTCCCACAAGCACTATCAAAAACATGGAAGAGCTGGAAAGTTGAGTGTTCACAAGTGTTCACCGTCAGCATATTCTGGTAGTGGAGGTTGGTTATGGGAGTAGCGGAGGCTAGCATCCTTCATCTGAACCCAGAATGACGAGGCAGTGTGGATGTGGGGAAGTTCCTGGGCCTTCTCCCACTGTGTCTCATCTGTCCTCTTCCTTCTCTTATGACCTACTTCCCTATGTTCCTCCCCATTCTCCCTCCACCCTAGTAGAGACAGGAAGTGGGTTGGATGCATATGACAGCCTCACAGACCGTGGGAGTGCTGATGCTATCGGTTCCTGCCTCATGATGACTTCTCAGAGGCTTCTCTGCCTCTAGTGGATGCCACACTCTGTCAAACCTGCCTGCTGGCTCGGCCTTGTCCCTTCTCTTCCCACATGAGGCTTCCTTCTTACAAAATCCTGACAAAGGCAGAATTCACCCACGCTTCTCTGCTTCTACTATATTGAGCAATCGTGTGCTTTTTGTGTGTGTATGCTAACATAAGAAAATTGTCACTTTGCAAAGGAAGTTTGACACTTTCAGAGAAGAGAGTCTTTGCATAATTCCCTTCCAGCCTTTGCTACAAGGAATGGGGGGGGGTGCGAGGACTAAACTTGAAAAGAGAAGATGGTTGAAATCTATGGATGTTTTCTTCAGCAGAATGTGGTATGAGTTGTAGACTTAAACGCATTTTGCAGCTAACTTGAGCTATGTCTAGAGAAGTCATTGGTTCTAGGTCCCAGGACAGAGCTGTTCCTAATGCTAAAGTAATTTCTTCAATCCCTGTCTGCAGAGTTAACGAAAAAAGGTATTTCAATAGCTTGAGACACCAATATGGTCAAGAGTCCTAATAGTGATTCAGGTATATGATTCAGAATGAGTTGTCTTTCTATCAAAGGCTGGGTATAAGATCACAATTTGATGAAATGTTGATAAATATTTAAATATATGTTTAT